AACTTGATGGAGAGACCTGATGATGTAATTTAGTGACTACTACCGGAACTCCTGGACGAGTAAACTAGGTGTGCCGAGTTTGGGCTCGTTTTGTTAGTTATAACGAGACCTTACCTCCGCACTTGATGGAGAGACCTGATGGTGTACTTTAGTGACTACTTCTGGAACTCCTGGACGAGTAGAAGTAGGTGTGCCGAGTTTGTGCTGGGCACACCTAGTTCTACTAGGATTCTTCTTTAGAATTATACATTTGGTTACATATAATGTGTATTTATTTTAGTTTCTTTTTTCTTTCTTTCAATTGCTACAACTACATCAAATTCACACCACTCCGTGATTTGACTGGTAGGGAAAGCTTTTACGTAGTAAGTCCGCCCTTTTTATCCTTTATTTTTCTTAGGGAATGCTATAAACATTTTAAAACAAAAATTTAAATAAATAATGATAATTTCCTTTTTTTCATAATATAATGAAAAACGGTTAAACAGCTTAGGTTATGCGGCTACTGCAACCCATGGATGCTAGCAACCATCTTTAAAGCATGTTACAGATACACTGTCAGCTCAAAACTTAAATGAAATTTAAGTTTCATTTAAGTTTTGGTTTTCTTACACATCTTATTTGATTAATTATTTTATTTTATGTATATTTATAATGACTTTTCTGCATAATAAGGAAATATTAAATAATTGTAAGTATTGGTATGAACTACAGCGCCCTCTGATCTGATCGTCCAATGCACTGTCTGCGTTCACTTTGATTTGCGCAATCACTCCTCACAACACCGCCATTAATAAGCACAATTAAACAAATTACATTTCCATTACATTGTTGTCTTGTTATTAAATTTCGGATGTCAAACATGAAATTGGCATTCGGCATAATGTAGGAATACCTAATATTATTGATGCAAATAGCATTTATTTGTAGCTCAAATCAATGCAATCGACGACCACGAATCAGGTTGACTAATTTTACGATGATATTGTTATTCAATTTACTCAGAAGTTTTGTAATTTACCACCCCGTTTCGCCCTATGGGTGTTATAAGAGACCACTCTGTTTAATGGCAGAAAAAAAACAACTAAAAAAAACGGCAACTTATTAAAATCCTCTCTGAAAAGGACGTTATTAACAGAGCTATATCACATTACATATTGTTGCATACTTTTATTAATCGCCTTTTATGTTTGATTTATTTGATTTGTTTATTGCTTTTGTTGTTTTTTTTTTGTTTAATAATTAGTCAATATTCGAAATTGACTCAGGACATTTTTAAAAAGACTTTATTTTAAACTTATTACTATTAATGTGCGATACATTACTTATATATTACTTAATTAATCCGCGATGGATTCTAACTTAAATCTACATGTTCGATACATGTGAGAGCCTAACTATGACTATCCTAATTCTTATTCTAGATCTTTGGGCTAAAGAGTAGTTATCAGTATTCACACGAAAGACACCCGTCTTCCAGATGCCATTCAGCAATCTACGCCCACGTTTACGCTTCAATTGTGATGGTCTCCGGTGCAGTTCCGGGAATACCGGGATGCATAACTAATTTCTAAATATTATGAAATTCTAGTAGGTAACTTTGATATAACTATCTTTTATTTTCTTTTTCTTTTTTGTAATAAATTGTATTTGTATAGGTGATGGTGCATAATATTATATAGTTTTAAGAGCGTGTACTCGCCGACAAACTGATTGCAGTTTGGCGAGAGAAAAGTAAAAATATGTAGGGGGAAGTCCCCTAAGCCGGGATGGCTCCCAAAGCCGGACAGAATTTAAATCAGTGCGAAAAAGCGCGCCAATTTGGTGCTTGTGACGTGATTAGAAAGCGTCTCCCAAGTGAAGTGTGGGAGGAGCGTGCCAATAGCCAGTGCTGACTCGTTCGTCGTAGAGAGTGGCGCAAATTTTAAGGTTAGTAAAAATTTATAATAAACTTACGAAAAAAATTTATTAATAAATGCTAAAAAACAACAAAGAGCTATGGGATGCAATAAAAACAATAACATGTACATTAAAACCTAAAAATAAAACAACTGAATTGATAGATCCTACACACGAGCAAAGATCCGTCGATAATATTAACGAGTTTTTTGTAACAATCGGGAAAGCTTTAGCAGAGAAAACACTTAAGTGTAGAAACCTCTCACACAGTGAGTATAACAAAGGATATACTACAAATTCTATAAAATCCTTAGTATTGTTAAGTACTGATGAAGTTGAGGTAGAGCAACTCATTATAGCGTTAAAAGATGTTAGTTCTGTGGGCTGGGACTGTGTACCGAATAAGGTCCTTAAAGACTTCAAACACATCCTCGTCCCTCTTTTGACACATATATTTAACAACTGTTTATCCAAAGGTATATTTCCTGCATTTATAAAAAAATCTATGGTATATCCAATTTACAAAGCAGATAAACGAGACTGTGTTAACAACTACAGGCCCATATCGATACTTCCATCGATCTCTAAGCTTTTGGAACGCATAATCAAGAATAGACTAGTCAAATACATAGAAGGAAATAACTTTATTTCTAAAAGTCAGTTCGGTTTTAGACCAGACAAATCAACTATTGATGCAGTCCATGAGGTTACTGACTATATTGTAAGTAATCTGGACAAAGGCAAGAAAACTATAGGTATATTTTTGGATCTTGCAAAGGCTTTTGACACAGTGTCCATTCCTTTATTATTACATAAACTTGAATCTTTTGGAATACGTGGTGTTCAATTAAATTTATTCGAAGAATATTTTTCTAATAGATATCAATTTGTTAAAATTAACGATCATGTTAGTGGAGACCTATCCATTACACATGGTGTGCCACAAGGTAGGCCCAAGCCTGTTTATTATCTATATAAATGACCTCTGTCAGCTTAACATCCCAAATTGTAAAATAATTTGCTATGCAGATGACACTGTCTTACTATTCTCTGACTATTCGTGGGTTAATGTTTACAAAAGAGCACAATTTGGTTTAAATATAGTTACTCATTGGCTGCAACAATACTCTCTTACTTTTAATGTCGATAAGACACGTTTTATCTCTTTTAGTATGCGAAACTCTACTCAGCCGTCACCGTCTCTTTCACTAATTGCTCATAATTGTTGTAATAATAACTTTTGTTCCTGTCCTGCCATTATTATAACCACTTCCATAAAGTATTTGGGGGTAATATTAGACCAAAATTTCACCTTTCGAGAACATATACTTATGGTTTGTGCGAAACTAAGAAAACTTAGCTTTGTTTTCAAAAATCTTCGACATGTGGCGGATCCCAAATTGCTGAAACAAGTATACTTAGCTCTTGCTCAATCCATTCTGAATTATTGTATTACTGTGTGGGGAGGTACATTCAAATCGATTTTAAAGCCCCTTGAAATAGCACAAACAGCAATTCTTAAAGTATGCACATTTAAACCTTTACTTTCACCTACATTTCAGTTACACCAATCTTTTGGTGTACTCACTGTTCGTCAGCTATTTATTCTGAAAACAGTATTGAAACAACATTCGTGGTTATCTTATGATAAAGACTTCTTGTTATCTAAGCAAAGAAAAGATAAAGTTTGCAAAAATAGACCTGTTTCCAGTCATTCTTTTGTTAATAAATATTTTTATCACCTTGGACCATTTCTTTATAACAAAATCAATAAAAAGACTGAATTATACTCTTTAAATAAAAATAAATACAAAATTAAATTATTTGAATTTCTTCATCAGTTAAACTATGAAGAAACTGAAGAATTACTTACTACAAGTTAATATTACTTACACACCCTCTTACATACACTCATGCATTCAACATATTATGCACAAAGAGATACATATTAATACACACTTTAACATATTTCTTTTTATTAAAAACACATTTTGTTAAGATTAATTTTCACATTTTATTTTTTGTATACCATCTATTTAAATTATACTAATGTTAGTTTGTTAATATGTAATAAGAAAGAGCACTGTGATCTGAAATACAGATATATATTTATCTAGTTCAGACACAGATGTTCCATCATTCTTTGTAAAATAAGTATAGACCATAGAATAGTTATTTATAAATGTGATAGTTATCTATGTGGTGAAAATAAACTATTATTATTATTATTACTCAAAGTCCCCTAATACCGGACAGTTTTACAGCAAGTTTGTTTATGTTGTAGTTATTATTTTTGTGTTTTCTTTTTCAGATTCAACATGGGTAAACCCAAACCGAGTTGTGACAATACCCCCAAACGTCAAATATTGAAAAACGCTATCAATAAGGTAATGTCAAAAAAATATTCTCTGAGAAAGTCATCTGAAGTCTACAATGTGCCAAAAAGTACACTATTAGACTACATTAAAAAACTGAAGCAAGGAGGAGAAATAAAACTGCCACTCAAAAAAGGAAGATTTGACCCAACTTTTACCGAGGAGTACGAAGAAGCTCTAATTGCACATGTGGTGGATATGTCAAATCTATGCATGCCTTTAACTAGAAAAGAATTTTTGAAATTGGCTTTCAATCTAGCGGAGCAATTAAAACTGAACCATCGATTCAACATGGTTAAGAAAAGTGCTGGTAAACATTTTTATTACGATTTTATCAAACACCATCCAGATGTCAGTGAGAAGGCCTGAGTCGACGAGTATGATGAGAGCTATTGGTTTTAATAGACCTTAAGTTGAATGGTTCTTCAATAATTTAAAAACTATTTGTGAAAAATATAATTTTGGCTCATCGGACATCTATAACTGCGATGAGACAGGGGTCAGCACTGTCCAGAAGCAGGCTAAAGTGATGACACTCAAAAGTAATCGTCAAGTTTGCAAGTTGACTTCTGCTGAGAGAGGTAAAAATGTCACAGTAATGTTCTGCATGAGTGCTGCTGGGTATTTTATCCCACCATTATTTATTTTTCGCAGACAAAGAGTTAATGAAAGGTTGATGATTGGTGCTCATCTGAAAGTGAAGCCTTGGCACAGCCAAACGGATTGATGAACGCTGAACTCTTTTTAAAGTGGTTTCAACACTTTGTGAAATTCTCAAAGCCATCTAAAGAGAAGCCTGCGCTTTTAATCCTAGATGGCCATAGCAGTCATAAAGATCTTGCTGTTATAAGTTACGCAAAAGAAAACCACGTGCATATGTTAAGCACCCCACCACACACGACCCACAAACTGCAGCCATTAGACAGGGTTTTTATGAAACCATTCAAAGATGCATATTTTGAGGCCTGTGGGATATAGATGAGGGCAAACTCCGGTGCAAGAAAAACAGAATATGAAATAGCTGCAACGGTGTCGCAAGCTTTCACTTGCTTGCACGTTTGAATATAGCAAAATCTGTATTTCCTTGCACTGGAATTGTGCCTCTGAATCTAAATGTTTTCACAGATTTACATTTTCTGCCATCTGCTGTAACCGATGTGCCTCTACAGTCTATTGTTGAACTTGATCATCAGACTAGCAGCTGAAGTGAATATCGGCAATGACGAAAATACGGGTACACCCGAAGACCTGCCTCCGGAGCCTTTCGACGTCAATGAAAAGAGGAATGTTGATACTCAACCGTCAACAAGCAAAAAAATGTTCACTATAATTCATCAGCTATCGCCAATTCCGAACGCTACAGCAAAGAAAGTCATGAGTCGACGACGAAAAGCTAAGAAAAGTGAGATTTTAACACCCTCCCCCTACAAAAATGCGGTCATTAAAAATAAGGCAACAAAGACTAAGTCTCTTTTAGTTAAAATGAAATAACTGGAAAGCAAGAAAACTAACGACTCGACTAAAATAAAAAGGACCAAGATATCGACGGCAACTCCAAAGACAACGACATTTCAAACATCAACATCAGTGACTGAAAATGCAACAACTTGTTTAATCTGCCAAGAAGATAATGATGAAGATTGGATTTGCTGTCAAGCTTTAAATCAGTGGGCTCATGAAGCGTGTGATGTTGAAGAGAGCTCATTTAGCTACATTTGTGATTTTTGCAGATTGTACACTTAAAGTTTTTTGATTCTATAGAAAACGTTCCTAATTATGAACAAAGATTATTGGAATTAAGAATAGTTTTCTTAATAAACAGTTGATTTGTACTATTATAATAGATATTGTTACGAATTGTTTGTTAAAATTATGTTTATGTTTAAAAGTGAACGAAAAGTTGGCTGTCCGTCATTAGGGGACCTTTGTAAAAACGTCCTTTTCTCTATGTTAAATGTTCCTTAGTATCTACTACATTTACAGTAACATTTAATGCTGTTGATATATCAGTGTTGATTAGTTATATAGTTGAGAGCTTATTAAAGTGAAATAAACAAATTAGATTATTATACGATTGTTTTTATTTTTGTCGTTCCTTAAGTGTCCGGTTCTCGGAGACCTCCCCCTACTTACCTTTGTATGAATAAATAAATAAAAAAACCTGCATGTCAAAGAAAATATTTAATAGAAATTTTGAGGCTCATTAAGTCCGTGAAAATGTATTGTGGTTTAAGGGCGGCGTATAAAGTACTTTATAGCTCTCTTAGAGACGAGAAGTTGGTGCTCAGCAGTGAGTCACAACATTACAGGACTACATAGTCAATTTATGATTTTTATTTGAGAGAGTCCCATGTCCAAGAATAGACTAACGTGGGCTAGTTTTTAATAGAGATGATGGCTATTCACACTTTCGTACCTTCCTTAAATTTTTTTGTTGATGGCGAATGAAATTGTTTACGTGACACCACAATAGAAGATCCTTCGTCGTTTTGTACCTATCTCTGATTACAGTGAATGAAAAACAACTCCACCTAATACATATATGAAAAAGGTAAGCATATGTTGTAAACATTCATATTCAACTTTAATGAACAAATGATTTTCTACAGTTAATTTAAAACATATAATCCTGAATTTAAGCATTTCATTTTGAGTTTTATGTACAGGACGAAAAATTCACAACCCTTGAGAGTACTTATGTCAAATCGAGTTGCCAAAGCAATTTTGGGCCTAGCAGTTTACGGCCAATTATAGTTAATACCTTTCAGATTTACTGCAGATCGAAATTCACAATAATTACCTGTGTATATAACCTACTAAAGATATTAATTTTATAGATAGTCTATTATGTGAACATAATACGTATGTACATAGTATTTGCTTTTATTTTCTTAATTCTGATCTGTATAGCCGCACTCACAAGCTTTAATTGCCTTAGAAGTGTACTAGAAAGTAAAACAAAGTTACTTCGTTTTTATTTTAAAAATAAGTTATTATCAGCAAACTTAAAAGATACTTTACCAGCCGGGCTATTCACAATCGTCTCGGAAAGCGAAATCGACTCGGATTCGATAACTTCTCGCACCGAAACCAATAAACGCTATTCACATTTAACGTTCGGATAAAGGTCACTTAGGTACATCCCATAACTATTGTATCGTCATTTAGTTACATGCATTTACGAATTTTGTAGATAAATAGGCTTTTTTATTTTTTAGATTAACGCCTGAATAAAAACATAATGCAATATTTTGGTGTTAGCCATTGATATCGAATATAAAAAATATATAATTTAACTATAAAATAAATAACAAAAAAACTGAGATATGTCTCGTTTTACAAAGGAGCATATATATATATATATATATATATATATATATATATATATATATATGTATAAATATATATATATATTATATATATATATATATATACATGCTGCTTTGTGATAGAAAACTTATAAAAACACACCTTCCACAAAAATTCAGCTTTACAGTGTGTGTGTATGTCTGTTTACAGTAAGTGCAAATATTGAAGTAATTATATGAAAATACGTCTTATAGATAATTGTAATTAATTTTTGTTACCTACCATATAATTAAAAGGGTTTATTTATCTCTTCTAATCATCAATATTCGAAAAGTTTTCGCCAGCCTCAGAGCTCTCGTGAAGTTTCCGATGCAAACTGTCACAATTATTGAAAACAAACGGTCACGCCCCATAGAAAAAAACCCAGACCCGACAGAAACGAGACATATCTCAGTTTTTTTGTTATTTATTATATAGTTAAATTATATATTTTTTATATTCGATATCAATGGCTAACTCCAAAATATTGCATTATGTTTTTGTTCAGGCGTTACTCTAAAAAAAATACAAAAGCCTATTTATCTACAAAATTCATAAATGCATGTAACTAAATGACGATACAATAGTTATAGAATGTATCTAAGTGACCTTTATCCGAACGTTAAATGTGAATAGCGTTTATTGGTTTCGGTGCGAGAAGTTATCGAATCCGAGTCGATTTCGCTTTCCGAGACGATTGTGAATAACCCGGCAGGAATAATTAAAGCTTTTCCAGAATTTAGAATTCCCTACTTACTTTAATAATGATGCCGTGGCCATATCTTTATGGTAAGCTACGGCTCGAGCAATCGCCATTATTTTATAAAAAAAAAATATTCAAAATCTTTATATTATGTGAATCTAAGGTTTACAGTAGTGTCCTAAGTCTGTTATAGTTTCACTATGTTCCGCTCAAGAGAATAATTTTTTTACATTCATCAATTACAAATTCGAATTACATAAGTACATATTATGATCAAATTTTACACAAAACTTATAGGCGAATTTGTATTCTTTCTTAATATCATCATCATCATCATTACAGCCCTTCACAAGTCCACTGCTGAACATATGCCATCCCAAGGAATGCTACAAAACATGACCTGAGCCATCTGCATCCATCAAGCCATCAACATCTTACCAGGTCGTCACTCCATCTAGTGGAGGACCACTCTACACTTGGCTTACTGATAAAAGGTTACCACTCGAGAATCTTTCATCCCTATCAGTTTTCGGTTCTTCGAGCTATGTGTCCAGTCCATCAGCAATTCAGATTACCAATCCGTTGGGCTATGTCTGTTACTCTAGTTGTACTGCAGATATTCTCATTTCTATATCCATCACCCAGAGAAACCCCGAGCATAGCTCTCTCCATAGCTCGCTGAGCGACCTTAAAGTTCTTCATACGGCCACCAGTAAAGGACCACGTCTTAGATCCATATGCCATCACTCACAACACGCACTGCCTGTATTTAAGTTTTGAGGTATACCTGACGAGAAAATGTGTCGTAATCTCTCGAACATTAGACAGTCAAGTTGAATCCGTTGATTTACTTCACGGATGAAGTATGACTTACCTAGTCGGACTATTTGTTCAACAACTACCGGCACAGGTGTAACGTGGACGTTACACAATTCCTGTATTTCGTTCGTATTAATTTTAAGACCGACCTCTTGCTCAGGTCCTCAAGCGATTCTGCCATAATGACTATATCGTCGACAAATCGAAGTTGAGTAATGTACTCGCCATTGATGTTGATACCGTATCCCTTCCAGTCCTGCTGAAGTGGACTGGAAAGAGGGATTTTACATACATTAAATTGCACATAGACAAAAGCCCAAACCCGGAACAATTATTTGTACTTTCGTAGTTCATATTAATATCTGTTTCTAGCAGGATCGAATCCTCAGTGCCGCAGCTAAATGATTAGTCAGTGCGTTAACTGGTCACAAAATATTATATACAAATATATAAACATATTAAAAAAGCTGAAGAAAATGATTTTGCTATCTATTATTTTATATTTACTGAAGTATAATAACTAATAACTATTCATTCAAGGTGCGTTCATGATATTTAATTTAAATTCTGCAGTGCAATTAAATCAAGACATAATAAATACCTTTTCAGTGAAATATAGTATACAACGAATTAAGGTGTGTAGCTAGTGGCCACCAACCGCAAATGTTAAACGTGATACACGTCCATTGCACAACTGTGTCGCTTTAACCGCAAAACTAGTTGGCAATTACGAATGTACGTAGATAAGTATTTATCATCACTTATAGAGAAAGTAAATCAGTGTTTCCAATACCATCGTTAAATTGTTGATACCGTACTATATACTCGTTTAGTTTATCATATTATATTAGGCTCTACTGGGACCGGGCCATCACAGACAGGACTATCTTGCGACTAAGCCTGATATTGTGCGGATGGACCGGGCACAGTCAAGGATATTTTTGGTCCACATTACCATTCCTCATGACGATAACCTCGTGAAAGCCGAAACAGATAAGCTGACAAAATATCTGGACCTGGCTCACGAGGTGATCGACATGTGGGGTGGTCTGCCGGCCGAAATTATTCCTGTGGTCGTTTCTGCGAACGGGTTAATTTCAGTCAGCCT